TTTTAAATATTTTAATGTCAATACAGCAATGCATTCAATTCAGTTTTTATTCATCAATTACTCTATTAATCGAAATATGAATAGATGGTTATGTTAGGCAGGTTTGCCTTCTGTACACTTTTGCCACTTGAAGAGTTGTTTGTAATTTGAAGTAGTTATGAAATAATCTGAATTGATAATTAATGATTGCAGGAGAATCAATCCAAATTTTAAATGTACATTTCCAATTGGTACATTCAAAGTGCTTTGCATGTAAAGAGTAAAATACATTTAAACTAACCACAAATATACACTGTTCAGTTTAATAGGCCTATTGCAAGGTAACTCACATTATCAAAAAGGGTAAATTATTTATTAATTTATTTCCAGAAAAAAAGAAAATACTGTACAGCATACTGTATTATATATGCCAAAATCATTGCATGCTTAACAATGGCATTAACAATAACAAGAAGTAAACATCAAGAATTGCATCACACATGTCTCAATAGGAAAATATAACAAGAATTGGATATGTTACAGCAAATGGACAAAATACGAGAATTAATGTATATCCATTTTATTCGTTGTTTCCATCATAGGACTTCAAGTAACCTCGATGTAGAACAAGCCAACACTGAAATAAGTGATGAGGAAACTTTCGACAGCATTGTAGACAACATAACAGAAGAAAGCTTTCGATTTGATTATAATGATGATGATTACCACCAATCGCAACAGCCCCATGAGCAGCAACAACCGCCACAGCAGATGCAACAAAAAAACAAAAAAACAACGAAGATGAAGAGATGACAATGCCAATGCATCAGTATCAACATCGACTCCATTAAAGATGAAAAGAAAGAGTGATGTCAGTTTTGACTTTGACAAATCCATATTAGAATATTTAGAGCAGAAAAGGGCTCCTTTTACCACAGAAGATGACATCCACACCTTTTTCATGTCTATGGGGGAGACAATAAGGCAGCTGCCAGATAGAGTGAGGGCCGAACTTAAATTAAAAATACACAGACTGATACATGAAGCTGAGATGGATGCCTTGTATTAAGGGACATACACATGTACATAGTTTTTAATCAATGTTTAAACATTGTATATGACGAAAATAAATGTTTTTTCTTACTATTACCCAGTAGTGTTTCAGATTTTTTTCATAGTATTTTTTGGCTAAAGACATTGCCAGTTTTTCCTTCCCACTTATGCCTTTTAGGATAACGATTTCTTCCTTCTCTATACATCTCGAATTGAACCAAGAATGGTATAAATTGTTGTTCAAACATTTTAAAATATTTATAGAAGTTATCTTAATGTGAGGACATTTTCTGAATAATGTGCAGGGCTCTCTGTATACAAGACATAAAAACTTTCCTTCACTGACTCATAACACCCAGTGACCAGACTTGACATATGTGGGAAGAGCGAATATGATATTGTCATGAATCAAGTGCTATCAAATTTTTTTTGATAGAAAACATCTTGAGGAAATTTGTTGATGTTTTATTTTGACTATGATGATGCTGTGATGATGAGGAATTTTACGATATATATATATACACTATATATATGAGCCACATAGCTTGCATTCCACTATTTGCATTCACACCTGGGCTGTGTATATATATTGCCTTGGTTTGGCTCTGTAATCATTAGTGGTCGTGGGACTAGTTTGGGCCCTACCTAAGCTGGTCAAACGTGTCGTTTGGGTCTATATCCTAGCTGCACTGATGAGGCCTGGAAGATAATATTGGGATTCCTTCCAGTGGATGCTTAGTTTATTTTGTCATTCTAATCGGATTATCTCTCTCTCTCTCTCT